GGGCCAAGCGCCAGCCGGTCAGCCGGCCGAAAAAGCTGGCGCGCGCTCAGGAGGAGGGTGGGGGAGCCTTCCCCCGCCCTCCTGCCTGAGCGCCAGCCCCATTTTTGGCCAGCTGATCGGCAGCTCCAAAATGGCCGGTGCAACCATTTTCGCACCCTGCCCTCGCTTACCGAGGCGCGAACATGCCTGCACTATGGAGCTACTTCGCTGAACGGTGAGTTTGGGGCCTATTGGAACGCATTAAATGAAGTTTAAGGTGTTCCAATGGGTTTTTCTATTCCGTACAGCGATGTTTCGCCATAGTGACGGTTAATCCGGAACGGATTAACCTCGCTATGCGAGGCACCACTGTAGTTATTTATAATTAGTTACTTCCAAGTTTGTATAGTCTGGATATGGTTAGATCACAAACCCACATTGCTTATGCATTAAAATGTAGCAGTTCTGGAGTATAGTGGTGCCTTGCATTACGATGTTAATTCATTCCAGCGAAATCACTGTAGAACGAAAACATCGTAAAACGAAATTAAAAAGCCCATAGAAACGCATTAAAACCCGATTAATGCATTCCTATGGGCTTGAAACTCACCGTCCAGTGAAGATCCTCCATAGCGTGGCCATTTTCACTGCCCATGCAGCGAGAAATCCGTCCCAGAAAACAGCGGGCGGTCATTTTTTTTACCTGGTGGCCATTTTGAAACCGCCAATCAGCTGTAGGAAAATTATCGTTTTGCGAGAATCGGTTCCCAAAGCAGGGAACCGATCATCGCAAAGCGAAATTCCCCCATAGGAAACATCGTTTTGTGATCGCTTTTGCGATCGCAAAAACTTCATCGTTATGCGATTTCATCGTAAAATGGAGCGCTCGTCTTTCAAGGCACCACTGTAGAATGAAAATGTTCTTCAGAATTGCTGTATGTTAATACTGATGGTATTTGGTAAATATGTGATAGGTATAAAGATTTCCCTAAAATCAATCCATGTAAATGTCCTAATGCCTTCTGTTTTCCCCACCAGGTTCACTTTATAAACCCAAATGTTGTTCCGAAGCCTTGCTGTGCTCCGACGCAGCTAAACGCCATCTCAGTCCTCTACTTTGACGATAGCTCCAATGTCATTTTGAAGAAATATCGAAACATGGTGGTTCGAGCTTGCGGCTGCCATTAAACATCCCCATTGGGAAAGCAAGACAGGTAGCTTGTAAAAGATGTGGACAATATTTTTGTTCCTGTGCTTGAAGATACAGATCGCTACAGAGAAGCGGAAGCACCCTTGAAATCACACCACGGTTCTTAGGATCAATCTTTCCAAAGGGGCCGCTGAGTCAAGAAAGACTTCCAGATACAAATGGCATTGCCATGTTTGGCTTTTGCTGGCAAATGAGCATCATCCTGCAGACTGTGAAGGTAGAGACCAAGGAGAGACCAGTTTTGCAGATGGGACCATACTTCCGTAAGGCGAGGACCATCTGTCTGAAAGTGCTTTGTTAAGGGGAACAAACTGTTTTAAACAAATAGTCATCTCTGTGGTGAGAAACAAATTTGTATGTGTCTGTATGTGTTGTCCACACAGATGCACAGATTTATAAAAGTTACTTTTAGAGAAACTAGTTGTTTGAATTAAAATGTGTCAATGAACCTGCCTGAATGAAACAGATTCTGCTGATATTACTAGGGATATATGGATCCTGACATTTTTTTTTCATAAAAAAATCCTGTGTATTCTTGTCTTCCTCACAACTGCACATGTTTGGGACACTTCGCTGCCAAAGCAGCTTTGCCGTTATTTGAAAACAGATCCCAGTTGCTGAGCACAATGTGTATATTTTTTTGTAAAATGCACAGGCAGCAGGAGAGAGCCAAGAATTTCAACAGTACAGAACACACACATTCTACTTAACTGGGCAGCCGGTTCCCATCCAAGCAAACCGAACGGCAATATAAACTACGTATGTGGATAATATGACTCATAGGTTCACGTCTTCCATACAATTCTATGCTGTCCAACTGCTTGGACACTTAGGTCACCACTTTATGTTTTGGGGCACCCTTTGTTTTCTGGACAATACAACCTTCCTGCAAATTGACAGAAAAGAAGAAAAAGAAAAGGCAAACTTGTTTCCTGTCCTCAACACTTAGCTGCTGCAGCAGAGAAGCGGGTCTAATTCTGAAAAATAGGAAAATCAATCTTACTCTCAACTGTAGTTTTTCTCCTTTCTTTTTTAAAAATAAAATTCACTCTGTAAAGAAGAGGAACGTCCAATCATATGAAATAGTTAAGGTGTTTTACTATCTGGAAGAACTGTACAGCGGTGCCTCACAAGACGATTTCAATTCGTTCTGCAAAAATCATCGTCTTGTGATGTTCCCTATAGGAACATCGAAAGATGAATGAAATTTAGTCGTCTTGTGAGGCATCAGTCTCAGGGAAAAACTGTCTTGCGAAGTACGGCCATAGAGAAAAAAACGTCTTGCCATGCACCATAGTGATCGCAAAAACTAATCATCTTGCGGATTAATTGTCCTGCAAGGCAATCGACTTGCGAGGCACCACTGTACGTGAATAGTGGTTGTACCTTTCTGGATAGCAGCCCGACTGCCTCCTTAGTTCCTTTGGTTCTGTTGTGCTGATTTGGATCCTCTCTGCCATGGGGAAAACTGCAGTAACACTGCAAATGAAAGGCTGAACCGTGCACTATCACTGTCTAATTAGAAGGCTCTCTGCAATGGCATGGAGCTAAATATCTTGCTGTTGTGAGCAATGTGAAAAGGTGCTTGTTAAAAAAATAATTACTATACTAAATTGAGAGGAATTGCAACCCTGAAGACAGAGCATTCATCTAGAACTTTGACCTAGGGAAGGAATTAAATTCAGAAGACCCAATATTCCCAAGTGGTGGGAAATTGGTGATTGACAAACAGTCTTGGGAGCTATAGTGGATAGAACTGAATATGAATTGGCAAATTGATATTCAGTCCAATATCACTTAGTTTCCATGAACAAGGGAAATGATTTCTAAGTTTTGAGATGTGTTAGTGCTCTTAAGCTGAATGTGGTTGTGTCCACACTTGTTCAAAAATGGTTTGACACAAAGGAAATGCTTTGAGGGGGAAAGCTACAAAGGCAACTTTCGGGAAAGGCTAAAGGAAATGAATTGTCGTCCCTCCAATATTGTTAGGGATTGAATATAAATCAGAAAGTTTGATGTGTCATTATATGAATCTTTGCTGAGACCACATTTTTAGCACTGTATAGTTCTGGTTGCTTCTCCTCAAGAAGGCTGTTGTAGAGCTGGAAATTTGTAGGGTGGAGGGAAAGCAATTAAAATGGTTAACTGAAAGGAACATGTTTCCTACAAGAAGACACTAGAGCATTTGGGTCTTTTTATGAAGAGGGAAAAACATGACAAATTGAAAATTTGACAGTATATTCATAGAAACCTCTCTGTGCCCTGGGAAGAAATCTTTCTTTTCTTAATATTAGAATGAAGTCACCTGAAGAAGTTGAGTTCTAGTAGATTCTGGACAGGACACTGAATGTACCTCTTCACATAGCATATCATTACTATATAGGACTCATTGCCAGAAGATAAATTCATGATCATTAGATGGCTTTTAGAAATGGTTAAAATAGTGGAGACTTAACATTCCACACCTACGTATATTGGTGAGGTTCAAATGAACAATTTTGCAGCTGAAGAGCTTCGGAATACAGTATGGCACACAGATTGTTTATTGAAATCCTAGGTGTTGAAGATGTGGTTGAACAACATTATTGCTGGTTGTGGACAGGGCTCCACTGCCTTTTATGGCTACTTCTCTTCTGTATTAGAAAACAAAGTCATACTAAGTAGTTTTAGGCTGCAGTTTAAGTCATACAGAGTCATTCCATTTGGAAGACAGAATAGTCCAGAGCTGCCATTCTCAACCATCAACACCATATGAAAGAAATATAGGCCGAATCAGGGCTGTGTAAGCTACATAATGAACCTTATAAGGTAGTGTGTGAAAATTTGTTGCCAGTCCATGGCCCTCTTCAAATGTGCCAGGAAGAATGGCTTGAGAATGGCTGATCTAAGAGAACAGTGACATGCCCTAAATTGTTGTGAGAGATTTATGTCTTAGGAAATTATTTGAACCTAAATCTTCTAAACTTTGTGTATCAACTGCTCAACAGCGCTGATCTGTTCTGCAGCCAGAAATAGCTGAAGCAACTTCTGTAGGACACGTGGTTGTCAACATTCAAAATTCGTCTGTGCTATGTAATTTGGTTGCATATGCATACTGATGCGAAACTATGGCAGCCCTCTCTGGTTGTATGCTATTGCAGTGGCCCTTGGAACAAAAATCCTCTTTGCATATAATAGGCTCACCCGTATCAAATCATTTCCTACTACCTCTCAGGCCTGGTGAGAAAGAGGGGTTGAGAGGCCATATGTTGGTTTTAGAATGTCCATGTTCTCTGAGACAAAATTGCTTGAAACACCTTAAATGCAACATTAATATTTATACTGTAATTAGGAATTTGTCAATGCGTGAGAAAATGTTTTGAGCAGAACATGCAGCTTGTTTGGATGAGTGCCCAGAATCTCCTAGCCATCGTGGCCATTGGCTAAGGAGAGCCTGGGAGCTGTAATTTAAGAAAAAGTTATTTCCCCCCCCAAACTCTGGTTTGGAGACAGGCAGTATTGCCCCAATAAACTCTCATTTATAGTTTAGGACTGTAAATAAGCAGATACTGTAATGGAGAAGGTAGAAGAAAGCTGTTGAACAATAAGGCTGCACTGAAAGGGATTTATCCCATATTCTTGATAGTGGGCTTTTCAAATTTTGTGCCCAGGCAAAAACATATGTGATATAGTCGAGTATGCTTTCAATTTATCACCAAGGATATGGCACCTTCAGCGGCTGACCTGTTCACTTCTGGGCAGATTGGTGCAGAGGGGAGGCCCAGTCCTCCTTTAAGAGTAAGACCTTTCTGAGTATTCACGAAGGCTTTCACGGCCGGGATCTAATGGTTGTTGTGGGTTTTTCAGGCTCTTTTTCCATTTCTGAAAGTTGTTCTTCCTAACGTTTCACCAGTCTCTGTGGCCGGCATCTTCAGAGGACAGCACTCTGTGCTCTGGTGTAGTTGGCTTGGGAGTGGAGTATTGGGAGTGCTGTCCTCTGAGGATGCCGGCCACAGAGACTGGCGAAACGTTAGGAAGAACAACCTTCAGAAAATGGCCAAAGAGCCCGAAAAACCCACAACAACCTTGCTGAGTCTTAGAAAAGTACATTCTCCCCATCTGCCTGGTCAGAAGGTAGGCCGGATAATCCTTCATGCTCATTCAAATGCCAGTAGGGAGAGCAATTGACATGTCCGGTGTTCTGGGCAGTGTGGTGGGAGGATTTGGCATCCAGTCAGAAGAATGGAAGGACCCACCAAGGTCTTCCCAAGACCTTGAACTGGTGGTTTGTAGTCTTCCTTCCCAATCTACTTTGTGATGGTACCTCCCCTGCTTCAGCCAGTGAAGCACAGATTACAACAGTGGTTCCCAATCTTGAGTCCCCAGATATTCTCGGTCTAAAACTCCCAGAAGCCTTCACCACTACGGGTGCTGGCCATGATTTCTGGCAGTGGTAGTGCAGGAACATTTGGGGATCCGAGGTTGGGAATCACTGGATTAGAAGGTGAACAATCCAGAGCTGAGGGGGAAAACATCTTGTTTAGACTACAGCTTCCAGAATCCCCCAGCTAGTGTGGCCACAGCTATTAGGTTGCTGCACGTTTGCATGGATAGTACCAATCACCTGTAGGAACATGTGAAAAGTTACTTTGGGAGTTATTGCCAATGCTGATTAGGGGATTCTGGGAGTTGTAGTCCAAAAATGAACCTTCAAACCTGTGGCACAGTTAATCTGTTATGTAGTTACACAAAATCCACTATGATATTGTATATTTTTAGGGGTTCAGTGAGTATTCCTTAGGGAACTCAGATACCTTTTAAAGGTAACATATGAGACATCTCCTGAGTCTCTGTGAGTAAGATGTATGGATCAATTCTAGTGCCTTGTGTTCCTGACTGTAGTGGTGGCTGTTCTGTATATGATAGGATACACTTCATAAACTGTTTGAAATGTTCTACGGGGTTATTGTTTTCGGGGTTACTTATGTTCTGCCCCCACCCACCCCTACACATACTAAATAAATGGCAGAACTTCTACTAACCTCTGTGTAAGGTCCACTGTTTGTACATGTTTGTGTAAATAGTTTTTGCAAAAGCAGAACAAAATTATTTATTTCAGCCTTCGTATTTCCCGTTTTCTCAATCACTTTCAGGAAGAAAATCCTGTTCATCTCTCCTTTGAACACATGTTTTTTCCTTATTTAATAAAGTATTTATTAACAACTGTTGGTTACAAAAAGGAATATACATTTTGGGTCCCCTCCCCTTAGAGCAGTTGTTTTTAGATGGTTGTTTGTATAAATAAATCAAATAAATCATTGCAGTTTTACTTGGTTTTAAAAAAAAACCCTACTTGTTCTGTGTCTTAATGTGGCCTGATGCCTTTCTTTTATCTTCTTTATTTTGTGCATCCCAGTTCCTTTCATATTTGCTTAGGAATAACTCCCCCAATCATGGAGGATTACTTTCAAATATGTATGAACAGACTGTCAGCTCTATAACCAACATTAATATAGATATATAAAAGCATCAACCAAATGCTTACTTAAAAATAGTGGAGCAAAAAATACCATATAGTTCCATGTATAAGACCTAATATAGATATATAAAAGCATCAACCAAATACTTACTTAAAAATAGTGGAGCAAAATAATACCATATTTTTCCATGTATAAGACCCCCAATTTTCTAACCCAAAATTGCTTACTTTGCAAAGAAAATGGAGGGGGAGGGGGAAAGCTGCTTTTTGCAACGAAAATGTAGGGGGAAAGCAGAAATCGCTTTCCCCCTCCATTTCCTTTGCAAAATCTGGAGGGGAAAAGCAGGTATTAAAGCGCTTTGATCCCTCCCCCCCTTACTTCCAAGTATAAAACGACCCTCAATTTTCCCTTTAATTATTTTAGGGAAATGTGTCATTTTATACACAGAAAAATATGCTAAATCTTTTTATATATATATTCTTGAAGGCTTTCACAACTGGGATCTGATAGTTGTTTTTGTGGGGTTCAGGCTCCTTGGCTGTAAGTTAAAAAGTCTTTTTAGAATTTGATCTTGTTCCACATTTGGTCAAATAACACAAATTTGACAAATTTAGTCAAATAACACAAATAACTACAAATTTATGAGACTCTGGCTGTGATTCTGTGGGGACAAGAGAATTCTGTGCAGAGGAATCACTCTGCACTTTCACAGACTAT